TTGACGAACATATTGATCCCGGTCACACTGTAGCCGCGAAGCACGCCACCTCCGTTCCAGTCTTCTCCTTTTCCTTTTCTCAGCAACGACATCCGATGTATACCACGGTGCAGATGGCCTTACAGTTACCTGACGTTTCTTTTTTGGAGCATGTTGGTCCAATAACTGTCGCAGAACCCTATCATACTGATCTACCATCGTATCTAAGTCTGTAGCTTGATCTTGTAACAGAGGAGAATCCATAATGTCCTTACAAAAGGAGTCCATATTTAAGGAGTGTAATTTCCGGAAGTTAATCAATTTTTTTCTAAATTGTGGTTTCTGAATAGATAACACACAATGAATTGCAAGATGATCCGAAATAACAGGATCCTTAACTTTGGTACCCTTGATAAGTGAGTCATCTGATCTTGTAATGACTAAATCAAGGGTATGGCCACTGGCATGAGTTCCACAATTGACATGTTGTTTCAGATCATATGCCTCAAGAAGGTCTGCAAACCGCTTGGCATTAGCATTGTCTGGATCATCCATGTGGAAATTGAAGTCACCCGTTATTAATAAACATCCCGAAGGCTCAGCAGCAATTTGCTCTAGTAATCTAGAGAACTCTTCAAAGAAAAGCAAACAGGAGTTGTTGTCGGGTGGACGATAAATAACCAGGATCCTAATACACTGAAGGCTTCTGAGACGGACATCCATGAATTCAAATGACTGAAAGGTGTCACACATTGAGGAGTTGATATTAAGATTGTCTTTAAATAACACACCAACTCCTCCTCCCCTGGAATGAGATCTTGGAACGTGTAGGAACCTATAGCCGGTAGGGCACAAAGTTCCCACTTCAACATCATTGGTATTTCCAGGTCGCAGCCATGTTTCTGTTAAAGCCATAATATCAATATCATTGTCCACAACATAGTCTTTCACTATCATCGCCTTATACACTTGTACAGGTATTTTAATAATTTCATCAGGGAGGTTTGTCTCGTATTTCCGAGTAAAAGTGTTGTTAAAAAGGCATTCAAAGGTTCAAGTTCTAGCTAAATTATATTAAACAGCGTGCAAAGAGAGTAGACAGAGTAGTGTCCAGGCAATAACCCTGGGGTACTGGATTTTATTATTGAGCTGGTGAACTGCATTTTTAACTTGCCTGGCTGGCAAGTAAAGTTTTTTAGGGAATCCAGATTCAGAAGCACTGTAATAAATCCCATTCATAAAAAAATTGGGGTTAGTCAAAATGGCTTTCAGGCTAGTGCATGCTAGGTACATCTTGCCGGAATAGCAAGCTGTAAAGCTGACCTTCTTTGCACCCTGAACAAAATATAATTAAAAGTTAAAGTACCCTTTCTACTGCTTTGTGAGAGTCCAGCGTTGAAAGAAATTCCAAGTAACTAAGATCAAAACAGGTAGGTCGCAGCGGGAGAAAAAAAAACAACTATTGCCGCTACAACATTAATCTAAATTTTGTGGTAAGTAGGGCAAACAAGCCTTAAGGTGTATCAAAAAAATGTCCATGTAAATTACCGACCGAGATTTTAAGGGCAGCCAATGTTAAGTTATTTCTCCAGCACACAACCTCTGATCTGTATTTACCGTCGAATTATATCCATCTATTATTGACAGAAACACAATCACTCTTATAAACTTGAACACATCTTAGCTTGCACAGTCGTCTCTTTAGGTCCTTCCAGACAGAAATTCAAGCTTTGTACATCGAAGGTGCGTAAAACTACGCTTTGTTTATGTTGTCGTGATTGCTCCCTGCCAAACGAGTTGATGTAATCGACCATTGTTGATGAAGAACGTAGAAAAGCGGAATTATACAGCTCTTTTCCCCAAGTTATGGCCGCCTGAGGGCATTGTGTTTTGGTCACGTGACTAGTTGGTCTTGAGGCCGGGAGAGGGCTGGACCGAGAAACAATGGAAATTAGCTTGCGACTGCAGTGGAATTCTGGGAGAGGCAAAATGGCGGATAGAACTGCGCTCTTGTTGTTGTCAATTGTAAGTTGCGTTTTCGTTTGAAAATCTCCTTTTAAATGGAAATTTCTGAGATAATAATGGAAACGTTCACACTTTGCACTGCCATCGGTTTAAACATGACGCATAATGCTTCCTTTTGGGCTGAGAACGTAAACGCTGCCGCGTGGAGCAGAGCGAGGTTGGTTGAGGCTAAGCTTAGTTGTTTCTGCTGGTGTATAAATGCACTCATGAAATCAACCCGACTGGAAAGTCTCCAAAGGGACCATGAAAAGAAAGTATGCATGGTTCACTAGCGAAGCAAGTATTTGGAAGTGTTTTGTTTGACCGAGACGGGAAAGGAGCAATATATACGGCGAGAACTACCAACTTTATGTTTTGAATTCAATTGGAAAAAAAACCCTCTTTGCCAAACGTGTGAGGACAAACATTGGCAGAGCAACTGCCAAGACATACAATGGGGATCGTCATTTCCATAATGTGCGATATCGATAAGTGATTTTAGATGTTTTAAATTAATTACTTAAATGTTTGTTGTCAAATTATGAAAAAAAGACACTTCAATATAAAGTTTTTGCTACAAACCAGCTTACAGTATTTTANTCACACTTTGCACTGCCATCGGTTTAAACATGACGCATAATGCTTCCTTTTGGGCTGAGAACGTAAACGCTGCCGCGTGGAGCAGAGCGAGGTTGGTTGAGGCTAAGCTTAGTTGTTTCTGCTGGTGTATAAATGCACTCATGAAATCAACCCGACTGGAAAGTCTCCAAAGGGACCATGAAAAGAAAGTATGCATGGTTCACTAGCGAAGCAAGTATTTGGAAGTGTTTTGTTTGACCGAGACGGGAAAGGAGCAATATATACGGCGAGAACTACCAACTTTATGTTTTGAATTCAATTGGAAAAAAAACCCTCTTTGCCAAACGTGTGAGGACAAACATTGGCAGAGCAACTGCCAAGACATACAATGGGGATCGTCATTTCCATAATGTGCGATATCGATAAGTGATTTTAGATGTTTTAAATTAATTACTTAAATGTTTGTTGTCAAATTATGAAAAAAAGACACTTCAATATAAAGTTTTTGCTACAAACCAGCTTACAGTATTTTACAGAGATGTACTGAAATACTGTACTTTTAGGGTTTTATTTTTTGGAAAAATAAATGCATGAACCATTGATTTTTTGTCCCTTATATTGTAAAATGTTGCATTTAAAGGCGAAGAGAGAATTTACCATTTTGGTTTCTTCTAACTCAGATTTTGTCTCTGCTAGTGTATATCTAAACCAAGACCCTTGATATTAGCCTGTGCCACAGATGGAACTAAACTCTGGGTTCAGTCCGTCGGAAAAACAGCGGTAAAATCCTAGTTCTGGTTCCCCCGTGTGTGTATCAGGATTTGAGTACCTGCCAGGACTGGACTGTTAAAAATGCCATTGTCAATTTGCCAAACATGTTGAAGGGAAACTCAAAATGCTGGACCCAGAACAAGGATGTTAGTGCTGCTTCGTAAATGTTACTAACCAGGGTTAGAATACATCTGCAACACAAGCTACCTTTGATATTTAACGTTCAAAATCATTGGCTGAGATTGTTGAAAATTTGGAAGACTAATGTAGATGTCTTCAAAACTGAATTAACTTATGCTATGACATTGTGTCCCTAGAGAGGTAGTGTTAGCAGTAGATCTCAATTTTGCACATGTTGTAGTTAATTTTTATTTTTCCATTGTTTCTCGGTTCTGATTATGTGTGCTAATGAATTTAAAACAAAGGAAAACCAAAAATTAACTGAAATAAAAAATTAGCTGCAACATATTCACTAACATGTAATTCACCTAAATGTCACCTTTTTCTCCTAAAGTCGCCTTAAATCGCCTTAAGTCGCACAACATTTTGACCAAATTTTCCTAAAGTCGCCTTAAATCGCCTGAAGACGCCTAAAATTACGGCGACTTAAGGTCCTAGAGTAGGCCCAACAGATTCCGGTACTGATCCCCGCAGCCAGCGAGTTTCCCCAGGTTTTTACAGAAGTGCTTACCCATCAATTGTCAAGTTTTTTGTTTTATTGCCACAACAAGTATTGACATACATTGTAGTATATACATATAGTAAAATAAAATCACACTCAAAGTCATACAAGATATTTGATTTCAAGTCAAGGGATTCTACATTTTACAAAGCATTTGAAAAACGTGGAGATGTTGCGAGTATGCAACCAATTTGTATGACTAAACAAAGAAATCAAATATTGCCACCAAAAACAGAAAGGTACGAGGCTAAAAAAACCAAATAAATCAAGCAAAGAGTATATACATATAGTCAAAAACAATCACACAAAAAGTCATACAAGATATTTGTTTTTAAGTCAAGGGATTTTACGTTTTATGCTTCTTATATATTGTCAATGCAATAGATTTTGTGAGAGGTTATTTTTAAAGCGAGACCATTTCCGTACAAAGACGTTTGAGTCGTTATTGTGGAATGCAATCTGCTTTTCAATTTCTATCGAGTTCATAAGTACCTGTATATACACCTGCAGCTTAGGAAGCTTGTTCCCAAGTCTGCAGGTGTATATGTAATGTCTAGCTATAAGGAGTAGGTGTTGAAAGAGAAGGTCTCTTACGTCGTCAATGAGACCGAAACAGAGAGACAATGAGGGAGAGACATTTTCTAAATCTTTGAAATTTTGAGAGACCCACTACAACATGCTCTTCCAGAAGTTCGGAGTGTATTTGCAAGTCCAGAATAGATGAACGAGGGTTTCTTTTTGTTCCTCGCAAAAGGAGCAGGAATCTGTTTGTTTGATACCTATTTTGTACAGAAAGTCATTTGTGGCTATTTTTCTGTGAAGGAATTTAAATTGGAACGCTCTAAGCTTTGACTCTCTTGTACACAGAGATGATAGGCAGTACATATTTTCCCAGTTTACTATTATACTAAGATAACAATGTATGTCTCTCTCTTCCAACCAATTTCCCTGACTTCTTCCATCAATTGTAAAGTTATCGTTATTGTCAGTCACGGTCACGGTTGCCCGAAAACACGGCCGATGCAATGATACGCGCGGTGTCAGTGGCGAAAAGAAAGAAACACACGCACAGCGTGACCACCACTATACAAACACGTTGAAAGTTCAGGCAAGGAAAAGTTTGATACAATGAAATATGTACTGTCATACAGAGAAGACTGAAAATCATCAATATTGCATGACAAACTTTCCTGTTTCTCTGGCTGGGGACTGGCAGATGAAACAAGTCCAAAACTTCAGAGTTGTCGGGGCGAAAAAAGATGGCGGCTACCGAGGAACAGGGTACAGCAACGAGAAGAACCCCGAATGACAAGCCAGAGGGTTCACTCCGTTTCAACCATGTTGCGAAGACGGAAAGGGGAAAGGCAGGGCCACAGACGATTCGCACTTCACTGAGGAAATCTTTTAGGCGCCTTGGCCATCGCAGAAACTGAGTTAGCGCAAAAAACACGGAAGATAAGGGCAAAATATATGAACCGCGTTCACTCTCCCACGATACAATTATGCAGGCACCAAGCACCAAGGACTTGACCAATTCCCCTAGATTAGTTATCATCAAATACATGTCCGTGATAGCCGAGACCATAGCTATCACTGCTGTTATCATCTGCAATAACCAAACTTCCGGCAGCAAAAAATGCGCAGCGATTATGAGGATAAGATTCGCGCTATCCAAACTTAAACGGGGAAAACAGTGTTCTCTCCACCGGAAACGTCTCTTAAAAAATATAGTGAGCTTCACTCCAATCCATAAAGATGAACAAATCACCAATAACTCCGAAGAAATGATTTCGATGTTCAGGTGAATTGCTGTGTTAACCGTGAAAGGATTTAATATCATGTTCTCAGAAAAACCATCCGCGTTTACCACGAATTTGAAGAAGAATCGAAAGAAAAAAATTTCTTGGAGTGGTAAAAATACTCTTAGAATTATGTTTTGGGAAATTCCCTCGGGTAATATCCCGGAAAAGGCCTCCTTTTCTTAGAATTTATCAAAACTTCTAGCTGATATTGCAAATTGCTTAGCCATGCATTGTAGACGAGAATAAGCAGGTTAAATTGACAGCCAATTATAGCTAAGAACGCTGGTAAGCAAATACCTTTCGCAAACAAACCATCTGGGGTTGGATAATCTTGCTCCAAATTCTACATGTTTAACTAAAATCAGTCAAAAACCTAAAGAAAAACCTTTCTTTTTCTTTCATTCTTTCGATGGCAAACATATGACCTCTGTCTTTGCTGATGGCGGCTTCGTTTTCGTCAGTTTAAAACGATTTGATTGCGTCATTATTTTTCTCCGAAAATACTCGCTTTCCAAGAAAATCGAATGCGTCATTTCCGGTGTTTGTTAGTTGATTTTTCTGGATATGCGCACTAGCAAAAAAATATATTTAATCGATTTGAGAACACACCGTGATAGAGGGCTTTGCAAGAAACCTTCTTTTTTGACGATGGAAAGAAAGTTTCACCGGCAAAAAATCCTTCACAGAGATCACAAACGCGACGCGGTCTCAGTATTTCATCAGATATCGCAAAGTGCGCGAAGTGTTTTCGACACGAAGCGAAAAAGCGACAGCGAACAACTGAAGCGGCATCGAAGTGATGACATCGGGGACAACGCAAGAAACACCGAGCAAAATAACGAACTATCACAAAAACAGAAGTTAATCAAGAATGGAAAGATAGTCGTAGACAGGATCAACTTCGAGGACAGTCGACCATGGCCAAAGTCGCTGATGGAAAAGGTCGAAGAAATGCTCAAAATCGAAGAGCATCATGTCATTTCTTTGGAAGACATGACAAATGTAGAGTGGTGTCCCAAATTTGTGAAACCAGAAATCCATGGGCATGTAAGAGGAGGTAAGGCTTTGCCTCATCACAGATGTCGCGAATGCAGGCGTTTGTGTCTCCATCTTCTTGGTCGCCCTGGATCAAAAAGAGAGTGTTTGGAGTGTTCAGGGAAATGGAATAAGAAATATATTCCAGTGTGGTATTACCACAACGGCTGTAAATATTGCAGAAGAAAGTGAACTTCAAGTGACAGAAAAAGCTGTTAGACAACTTTAAGCGAGCTTATTTAACCGGCGATGCCTCAGTTTTCATTTTTACTTGGTTTTGAGAACCGGTTAGCAGCGAAATTTGGATAATTGCAAGTTGTTTCCCATTTGTTTTTTCAAAGCATTGTTGCGGCTCATGCTCGGTGAAATAACCTTACCGACCACACAACACAAAGGAAACAGAAGCGCGAAGAACCTGCTAAAAACGCGAGCTAACCGGTAAGCAAAGAAGGCCTACCCTGGGACCTTAAGGCCCGGTCCAAACGGCGCTCCACTTTCATGTGCCGAACCAAACTCGATTGAGATCCACTTTGGAGCGACTTTGGAGCGACCTTGGAGGACGGCTGATTCAGACGGCGTACTTGCGTCGAATTCGGGAAGCTCGTGGTAAACAATTTTCGATGAGAAAATATACGTTCTGAATTCAAGAACTCCGTCCAAATAGAGAAGCTGTGAGTAATATGTCGCTGTTATAGCAATATTTAGGGAAGCAAATTCAATCGCAAGATTCAGTGTTCGTATTTTGAGAGGTTTTCTTCAGGTAAATTCGACCTGTTAAAGGGAAATCTCATAAGCTGGGCTATTATCACGAAGAAAAAGCAAAAAAATGAATTTGCGCTAAGGAAACTCGCTTATACAGTCCCGTTTCTCATAAATCGAAGGCATAATGGGAGCTCCGAAACGTGACAGAGTTTTTGCTGTCTTTATTTTTAGCGACGACTTCGAGCTTTATGCATGACTGGTCACGCCACTCAATTTTGCGCCAATCACAAGTGCCGTTATATGAAAAATCCATTAAAGTAATTTATGCATTAGGTTCGGCACATAAGGAGAACGCCGTATGAATCAGCCGCCGCTCGAATGTCGCATAGTGCGACAGACACTGCCGAATTTAATGTTGTTTGCCGCTCCAAACCTAACCTGCCGACCCAAACTGATTCAAACGCCGCTCTTCTGCCGTACTTCACTCAGCAGTTAGGTTCGGCGCATGAATGGAGCGGCGTTTGGAACGGGCCTAAGTCGCCGTAACTTAAGGCGACTTTGGGCGATTTAAGGCGATTTTAGGCGACTTAAGCAAAACTGACAGTGAAAACATTGCGACTTTAGGCGATTTGAAAGTGAAGAATGATCATCGCAGTAAATCCGTGAAAAATCCATAGGTTTATAGGCGATTTAAGGCTATTTAAGGCGACTTACGGCGACTTTAGGCGACTTGAGATGACTTTATTTCACTCGAGTGATATAAACCTAAACTTAGCAACAATCTCTCCATAGACTTTAAAATTATCAGCAAAATCTCTTGCAATAAACCTATATTGTATCAATCATTTGTTTAATTTTGTATTCACATATATTAGGTCGCCATAGTCTGAAATGGTCTCAAATATCCAGATTTCAAACCATTTTTTTAAAAATACTATTAAAGATAGAATTACCACAACACTGAACAGGTATAGTATTAATCTACGAACAATAATAACAATAAATACCAGCAAGATAGCATGACTATTGGTGAAGATATCACAATAGAAACCAACATCAACCAAAACTATTAAAAATATATATTCACAGTGACAAAAGTTTTAAATTTAAGAAAAGAGACCTGATTTAGCTTGATTTATATTAAAAATATTTTATTTTTCCCATAATTCAAACAACAAGGAAACTAAATTAATTAAGCTTATTTGCAGGCAATTTTTTTACAATGCTTCCCAAATTACAAAAATGGTTATCTTGGTATACTTATCTGCGATATTTTTGGCATCTCCACTGACAATTTTGGCTTGGGAATTAGCAAATAGCTGCCTCTCCAAAGTTGTTCAATCCTTTTCAGGGGCCCAATCGATTTGCTGCTCTCATATCTCAGCCAGTGAAAATACTCTAATACCATAATGAGTGCTGCATGCTAAGGTCCTTCGTGAGAACACTTCCTTTCAAATTTCACCAACTACTCGTCTAACTCCAGAAAAACTTTGACTACCCAGTTTACATAGTGAATCGAATCTTTTTAAAAGGTTTTATTTTACCACGGTTGATCAGACCACCAAGAAATATGCCTACCAAGCTATCTCTAGTATCTAGCTGGCGCATTACAAATGCCCAGAACTACATTTTCACAACGAAATACTTGAAACCAGACACACTGGTCTCCGCCATTTTGATTCTCCCAGTAACCCTTGGGCCGCTAACTGGTTTCCATGCTTCAAAGAGACGAGACATCTCGCGGGTTTCGATCCCTTCCGCCTTCGAGTTTTAATTTCCTACTTAGTGTTCCCGATTGTAGATTTATTTTAAATCAACCAATTCAACTTTCAGAGAGAATTAGTTTAAGGATTTGTTTTCTTTCTTTTGTTTTGTAAACGCCTGTCGGAGTAATCATACTTGCGTGGGCGAGAGTAGCTCGCGTGAGCTCGCGTGAACTTTAGTCAGGAGACCAAACTAACTAACGTGTGCTAAATATTGGCCTGGCGGCCATGTACACTGGGAAATCTTCTCAACCTTAGCTTTAATTTCGATAGTAACAGTAGCGCAGTCCACGTAAAGTGTATCAGATGATGTGAATACCTGGCTTCATCAAATGTACGAAAAGAATTTAACGGTCCATCCTCGGAGACCCAGGGGCAGATAGTGGGGCGAGGGAAAGTCTAAACGGGCGGGAAAATGACGCACGAAGAAAAGTAAAGAACGGCGAGAAGAGCCCCTAGGGACAATGTATACCAGACCAGTTCCAAACGGTCGCCGCCGTTCTGGCTTCTGATTAGTGGCAGAAAAACACAATCTTCTTTCCATATATATTTTTCCGCCCGTTTAGACTTCCCGTCGCCCCCTTTATCTGCCCCTGGGTCTCCGAGGATGTTAACGGTCAAGATAGATAAACATTATGCTGCAAGTTGGTTCGTCCAGTTACGACAGTTGGTTGAATGTGGTAGTAAAATGCAAATAACGATTTATGCTGGAGAAATGGCCCACTTTTGCCACTCTTTAACACTGGGTAAGCAAAGTATTCAAACACGGAGCGATCCTGTAAAAGGCAAGGAGAGGACACGCCACCATTGAAGCACTTCGTTGGTGGAAAGCCGAAATAACGGTCACATAACATAGAAGTCGTGAAGAAATAGCGTTTTTTTCGTTTAAACAACGGAGTCATTTACGTAAAATAATAAAAGGTAAATGATAAAAATACAGTGAAAATAAATCTTCTATTAACACTTTAGAAGATGCATTTGGAAGAATAAAAACGATGAATTATCTTCGTCACTTCATGCAGGAACATTCAGATTTCGCCACTAAAATAATAAAGCTGATGCCTGCGATCAACAAGCTGTGATCTGTTTCCATTTATCTCAGCATGCCGACTACGAAGACAAATCTCATAAGAGATGATTGGATTTTGGTGGGATATTTAAAATTATTCAGATTTATGAGCGTTATGATGGTGCAAACAAAATGCAAATTGACAACACTGACTTATTCCTCAAACTGTCCTATATTCAGTGCAAAGAAATTGGAAACAAAAAGTACTGCGAAGAATCAAAAGAACTTAAAAAATGGCAAATTGAGATTTCGCCTGAATATTGACCTTAGAAATGAGAAGGAAGACTCATGGCTGAATTCAACTGATGAAAACAAAAATTGCGTTCGTAAAAGGCCGACTGAATTTTAGCAGCAAGAGCACAACAGCAGCCAATGTTCACCTTATGGAATCTCTTTTAGATAACTGGCTGAAGAATAACCATACTACCGTAGATATAATATATTACCCCCGCGATCTGCTTGTGTCTGG